TTCACCTCAAATTGATCTGCCTTACCTGGCTTTACCTGTCTACCTTTACCTCTGTCTCCTTTGAGCTACTTTTAGCTTTGACTCTTCAGACCCTCACTCCTAAAGGGCCAAAGCGGTGGGTCGTTTGTCTAACTCAAAAAAAAAATGTTTCTTGTGGCTGGTTTTCTTTTCTGGAAAATATTCATTTTCCAAGACTCACCTTTTTAATGCCGACTTTGCCACGTTATTAGCCTGTTTTGGCAGTATGGCTGCTGTCAGAGCATGCACAGTGTTATTGTCCGACTTCATTCCATTTTGGGTTGAATTTTTTTTTTCTTTCCCTGTTATCCGTGTTGCCAGGACTTTGTCTTGAAGTGGTCTGAATCTAATCAATGCTTGTCTGCAAACTCTTTTCTTTGTCTTTTTGAAGCTACTGCCGGCCCAGTGCGACGGTTGGTTCCCAAAAGTCTTTTTACGTGGTTTGGGATTTGCACTTTTTTTTTTAACTCCCAATTATGTCTATAATATGTTTGATTTTGCGCACGCCGCAGCGACTCAATGTGAATAATAAAAGTTATTGACTGTGAGCTGAGAAGTCTTGTGTGCTTTCTGCTTCAGCCTAAAAGCACACCCAAGGGCTGCAGTCTGGTTTCCACCCCGAGCTCTTTTCTTGAATTGATGCAGGTGCAGCAGTGAAATGAAGCAGCTTTTTATTTTGCTGAGAAGATCCCCCCCCCGGCCCCCACACACACACACACACACACACACATGCAGATGAATGTTTTGGATGCAACCTGCTGCATAAAACATGTTACGCACAAGTGTGGGATTGGAAGCATTTTTATACTCACATCAGCGCAGTGTGTAGACACACACTCTGTGCATGTATAGGGATGGTCCACTTGCGCACGGCAGAGCGCATCCAAAAGTCATCTCAGTTTCAACATAGTAGTATAAACTGGAATTAAACAACCAAGTCAATCCTTATTAGCTAAATATTTCTAAAAAAAATGGTGCCCGAGAGTGAGTCATCCAGAATTTTGCCCGATTATGATGTAACAGTAAAGCTAATTTACATCGTAACCTCCATACCAAGTTTTTCAGCCCATGTCATGATCAGCTCGGATGGAGAAAAGATCCAGAGCCCTTTTCAAACATGAAACACTATCATGCAGAAACATGGGTGCAGCACCCCTGTTATCCTGTCAAAACCAAAAGGTAAGCAGAGCTGTGATGAGTTTGGTTCAGTTGGATGGATGGATGGATGGATGAATGTTTTGGACTTTAAAATATACAATGTTTAATTCTCTTTTGGGGTTTTTTTTTGTTGTTGTTGGATGAACTTAAAATTTTAAGGCACCAAACTGATAACATTTCAAGTTGTGCAATTCAACTGCCGTTGTGAAAATTGCCATTCTCGCATTTCACGACATATAAGAGTTTGCAGAACTAATTTTCCCTCAATTTAAAAATTATAAGTAAAAGTAACTCAGGAAATTGTTTTAGAACAACCAACCTGCCTGCTTTGTTGTGTTAACATTTTTTGCCATCAATGTCACTGCGTTTCTACTTTAAAGTTGTTCCGACTTAAATTGCTGTTTTAGCCCCAAAAATGACAAGTCGTGTTTTTACTGTGTAATTTTCACCCTTTTGTTGGTTCCGTGGCCCTAACGCTCCTTTCTAACATTTCTTGACTTCCTGTGCGCGTTACTGTATTCACGTTTAGTGTATTATTTTTAAAGGCGCTAACCGGAAAAGGGTTGGTGTCCATGTTATCCGCCTTGACGACGTTGGTGACGACTCACGCTGGGTGTCAGCAACGCCCGCGGCTTTAAATGCTCCTCATGCGGGCGCAACTCCTCCTCTGCGCGCCCACGGAATTAGAAGCGGAGCAGACCACGTCCTCCTCATCATCCTCATCCTTTACCACCACCACCTCCTCTTCTTCATCCATCTATTTTCCCTTTTTCTCGCTCTTTCTCTGTCAATCTCTTTGGAAAGCTACCTGGAACATCTCATTGGGGTTTGAGTCCCAGGTGGAACGAGCAGCTGGGGCGTGACAAGAGGCTGAGAAGCTCCACCGGACCCCCTTCACCGCGCACACAAGCCCAAGAGGAGCCGCCGGGTGCCCGATACGCGTGATGGATGTACCCTCTGAATGTTTACTTGACGCTCCTTTGAAGACTGACGCGACGGAAGGGTTCTAGTAGAAAAGGGGTGCGTTTTTGCAGAGGAAATAATGCAAAGAGGTGAGTCCGTTTTTTCCATTTGATTTTAAATTAATTGCCGCTGAAACTATCAGAAATAATTAGCTCCACCCTAATGAATCGACAGTAATCTCTGGACCAGACTCCGTTGTGAAATTGGGTAGAAAGTAACTAAACCGTTCCCTGGAATGATGCACGAACTAATGTTGCGTGCGTGCTCGGAGGCGTTTGTGCGTGTGGTCGACGAGCATCGTCTCGGCTTGTGTGTCAGCGGCGTTCGCTGCACCCCGCGGAGCTGATGGGGGGGTTTCGTGCGTAAAATCACGAATTGGTGTCCACGAATAGGTGTACGGTACTACCTCATACATTCAAAGGTTTAGAACTGAGGACCAGGTCAGGGTGCGCATGTACTTGCACTCTGATATAAACCAAATGTCGCCTCCTCCTTCAACGCAAACTCAACGCCACAACTGGCCGAGCGAACCTAGTTCCATTATCGGACCCAGCGTGGCCGAGCAAAGAGGTCATGTCAGCGGCAAGCATCGCTGCGATTCACTGGTCTCGCGGACCAACGACTCGAACGCCACAAACTGACGAGCATATTGTTCCATTGTCGGCCGGTTTTAGCGTCATGTCAACGGCATGCTACACTGAGTTTCACCCGTTTCACACCTGGATGTTCTAAATATGGACGGGTGGATGGATAGATGGACGGATGGATGAACGGACTGATACTGGTAGACTGGTAGATGGATGGAACAATAGATGGCTTGTTTATTTGAAGGAGGCATTTGTCTATTTCATCAATTTCAGAATAATTCACCCTTCCAATGGAAAATGGAATGTGAACCCGTTTCACTCTGCCTGTCAGAGCCCATTCTTTCCTGTTTTTCTTTTTGGGGCGGGAATGGCATTGAGAGGGCCAAAGTCGATTCAAAATATTCTGCTGTTTGAGCTGTAACAAGAGGCGGGACAGCCCCTGTGCGGAAAGGTAGTCTGCAATGCCGGGGCGAGGGGAGTGGAGTTGAACGCCGGACACTTGCTTGTCCCATCATGTGGTCTTGAAAGCAATCGACACTGTCCCACAGTGCCACAACTATTTTATACCTCATACCAAGATGTCATCAAATGATGTGTCTTCGGCATGCCTTGTGGGTTGCAATTAGTGGAAAGCTGCAAGCAATTGGTTATGTTAAAAAATGAAACCATCACCATTGGTGACTCCAAAACACTTAACTTAGAGTGTTCCATTCGCCTGCCATGCATGTTTTTGGAATGTGGTAGGAAACCGGAGTACCCGGAGGAAACCCACACAGGCACGGGGGCGACATGCAAACTCCGCACAGGAAGGCCGGAGCCAGAATCGAACCCTGCACCTCTGCACTGTGAGGCTGGCGTGCTAACCAGTCGACACTGTGCCGCCGCATTTAGTTCAGCTAATTGTAATTCATTTTTAGAATGGATTTGTTAGTTTTTAACCAACAACGTACTGAAGCCATACTACCAACCATATTTGCTTTGGTAATGTAGTCATGTGTTTCTTGTAAAACACAGTAGAACCATTTGACCTCTCCCAGCCAATCGGCAACAAGATGGGAATACACTCGCCATAATAGAGATAAAGCTGTATTTTATCACGAAATGAAGTAACCCTAATAATGATGTAAATAATTCAAACAATAATAAACAGGGGACCCAAGAACACATACATACAGAAAACAATGGTGTGTTGAATTGAATCCATTTTATTTTGTCAAGCGATTGCTCACAACAGAACCATCTGGATTTCGAAAGATTTAAAAAAAAAATGTATCTGCATCCAGATGGTCGAATTTCGTGCAACCATTTTATCAAACAAAAATGAGTAAATACACCACGTCATTTTTCTGTGTACTTATAACACATGAGGCTAAATATATCAATATGCTGTACATTAGTGTCTCTATTAGAAATATACAGTGTTGGAATAATACACAATAAAAATACAGTAATATACAACAAACGTATTATAGACATTAAAAAATATAAAGCCCTCTATTACCTATTGATATGGCATGGAATGGAATTTATTGTCACTCAAATGCACAAGTACGAAATTCACGGAAATTACCATCTGTTCAAAAGACATAACACGACAATGACCAACAGAGGGCGACAAAACGGACAAGTCTGAGGAGTCGTTTACAGCACACCGCTTTTCATGATGAAAGGAAAACGTAACGAATGGTGAAATGGGGAAAAAAACAATTCCAAACTATTTTCCTTGAAGGGATAGGAACTGTGTAGGATTGGGGGGGGGGGGCTCTTCCGGCAGCCACATGTATAGGAGACAATAAAAACCCGGACTCAATACTTGCATATGTGGAAGGGGAGGAGGTATCAGGCGGGCGCAAATGGAGCAGCCCATACACTTTCCCCACGGTTGCAGCATTTCAAGACGAGGGCATCCACAGCGCACCTGGACTGTCACCGGGGGGAAGAAAGCTGGCAAAAACACGTCGATGATTGCTGTGTGTTGTGTTGTAAGAATGTGTCAGAGTAAGTCTGTGTCCTCGGTGCTTGGCGGCACGCCGAAACACATCGTCGAGTTGCCACGGGGCCAACCTCACTGGCTCCTCACAGCAACACGAAGCACCGCGGAATGAGGAGGGGGGGGGGGTTAAAGGGGGACTCCAGCACCTGTCAGCATTACATCCAGGAGATAAAACTCCCAAATAACATTTGTTTTGGGGAGAAAAGATGACAATCATTTCAGTCGGCCCTGAGTATTTCACTGTAGCTCCCGATGGCATCAATTGGCAATCGGTTCTTAAAGGCGAGCCGCCAATATCTTCACGTTGGTGTCCAGTAAGCAAAGTGTCTCAGAAGTCGCATTCGATTTGCGATTAAGTTCACTCTTTGCCCGAGTCTGAGTATTGATCACACGCCAGAGCCCATCAAGCACGACCAGCGGCTCGTCCATTTCCAATTAAACCGCCCGTGTCTTCAGAACTTGGCGATAAATCAAGAAGCTGCCAGGGATACCAGTGATGGATGCATGATATCGTTTAGTTTCTTTTTTTTTTTTCTAGCGTGGATCCTCCTCGTTCTCATAGAAGAGGGACTCGCTCTGGCACAGAGAACTAAAGGTAAGCAAGGCAAAAGAAAATGTGATTCGAAATGATGTTATCATCGAAATCCTTCAATCTTTGTTCTTTTCAAAGACTCCCTGGGCGATAATGGCATCCAGAGCCCGAACCAAAATGATTGCGGAACGTGGGTGCGCAACATCAACGGCGGAGTGTTCACATCGCCAAAATACCCAGACACTTATCCACCAAACAAGGAGTGCGTTTACATCCTGGAAGGTGAGCCAGGTGCATTGTGGGTAGCGATCCAATCTTCAGGACTGGGCTCCAGTGCTCAGGAGTTTTATTATGGTGCTATGCTATTTAAAAAGAAGTCGTTGATTTTTTTTTTTTTTTTTTTTTTTGTGATGAAAAACTGCTGCCATTTTCTTAACATTGACAGGGGATTTCATGACATTTTAAAAAACGGATTATTCTGAATGTAAAAATAAAAGCATGCGCCTTTTATGAGCGATGATCTGAAAATTTACAGGGGATTTTACAACTCTCTCTCTCTCTCTGCGTGTGTGTATATATAGTACATGTATACTGTATTGTGTATGTAAATATTCTGTACTGTTGCGGAAACTACAAAAAAATCTTGTCACATTGCAACCATACTGTATAACAAAGGACTTAATTGTAGTAATATTAACATTGTCTCCAGAAGTGTTCATAACATCCTTCAAATGCCTACTTGGGGACTCAAGCAGGCGACTATTTACTGTCAACTAGCGTTCTTCTCCACTTGCACGCAGCAGCTCAACTTTGCTGCTCCGTTTCGTTGCACGACATGATGACGTCTCGCTACACTTTGGAGGAGGTTCCCATCCAGACGTGGTTCAATTGCTCCCCCTGTAGAAGAAAATAAGCATTACAGCTACTAAACTTTCAACCGACCACACGGACTGATGGGGGCTCCGAATGAGTATTTTCACAACTAGTTATTATTATGATTATTATTATTATGATTGTTATGAGCGTAGTGGCCTAGTAGTGGTGCTGCTATTATTGTTGATACCAAAACCCAACCAATAAATGTGTGAACGCTGACAATACAATCAAATGGTGCAGCATTTTTTTAAACCATTCCATAGTTTGTCACTAATTCCAAATCAGTACTGACATGTTTTATTTGGTATTTTACAAAAAAAAAAGTTATTCAAAAATAATTTCATGAGATGGATGAACACAAAGTAGAAGAAAATTAGAAATGAACCAAGTTTAAAGTGGTAATGCCTCAATCAATGCATATACAAAAACTCCCCATTTTGTGAATTTGTTACTTTCCAGAAGTTCTTATGAGTGGGAAAATACTTGCCAGCTTACCACTTAGTCATCTTCTTTTCTAGCTTCCAAAAAGTGCTGAAAGTGATCCCAGCGGTGCGCTAACGTGAACCTTCTTGTCCATGACCAAACAGCACTGCCCAGGCAGAGGATCCAGCTGGCGTTCGACAAGAACTACTACATCGAGCCGTCCTTCGAGTGCCGCTTTGACCACATCGAGATCCGCGACGGGCCCTTCGGCTTCTCGCCGCTCATCGACCGGGTGTGCGGAGGGAAGAACCCGGGACTGGTCACCTCCACCGGGCGCTTCATGTGGATCAAGTTCACGAGCGACGAGGAGCTGGAGGGTCTCGGATTCCGCATCAAGTACACATTCATTGCAGGTGAGGACACGCAACAACTCCAACTTTTCCATACGTACATATAGCAATACCGAAATAAATACAGTATCTACAAACGAAAATGTTTCATTGGCTGCCGCCCAGTCCACCCAAAGTCAACTGGGATAGACTCCAGTTCACCCACAAATGCAATAAAAAAACTGAGGAAAGACAGTTGATACTGTTGTTGTTTTTTCAGACCCTGACTTCCATCTGCATGTTGGCGGACTTTTAAACCCGATCCCGGGTGAGCTCATTTTTGATTTTATTTTGAAATAAAAGTGCGTCTTCATCTCATCATCCTCTGCTGTCCTTCGTCTTCCAGACTGTCAATTTGAGCTCAGCGGCTTCGATGGGATCATTCGCTCCAGTCAGGTGGATGAAGCCAAGCGGGTGAAGCCGGGCGACGCTCTGGACTGCATCTGGACCATCAGGGCTCCCCCTCAGTCCAAGGTGTGTACACACCTGACTGAGTAGTGAAGCAGTCATCATCAATTGGACGGCAACAACCTCAATGAACCTGGCTGTCCATTCATGCACAAAATTTCAGTCTGCCTGTTCACATGTATGTGTACATTCACATGTAATGACAACATCTTTCTGATACAGGCTGTTTTCCTATAAGTATTCTTTCACTATTTCTTGTGCAACAATTGATTGGTTATTTTTGTATGTTTAATCCACTTTCTATTGAGTTGACACATTAAAAAAAAAAAGGACATCCGTGACTCCCAGGCAAGGCTAGCGTCTCCACCCCTGGAGTAAATGAGTCACGGGCATGTTCCAGAGCGGCTCCCCTCCGCTACAACATGGCGACGACACAAATTCATGCACATCTGATTAAGTTACACGAGCGGTGCCACGCCACGTTTGCCGTGTTTTTGCGTGGGCCGGGGAAGACTGCTGGCATGTCATTCCAAGTTCATTTACGTACACTCATTAACATGGAATGACAAACATTGTCATTCATAATATTAGAATCTTGTCTAATGCTGATATGTTACATTTATTGTCCACCCCCTGCCTGGTGGACTAACTGAGTCACTGAAATGCATTGCAGGGGAAAGTCGCTAAATAAATAAATGGATCATTTTGACACCTCCATCCTCCACCCACTCCAAATTATCAAAAAAAACCGCTGATAAATCTTCTGCCATCAATGACCTGTCATCCCTCATCCGTGCGTTTGTGCATGCGTGCAGATCTACCTGCGCTTCATGGAGTACCAGATGGAGCATTCCAACGAGTGCAAGAAGAACTTTGTGGCCATCTACGACGGCAGCAGCGCCATCGAGAACCTGAAGGCCAAGTTCTGCAGCACGGTGGCCAACGACGTCATGCTGGAGAACGGCGTGGGCGTCGTGCGCATGTGGGCCGACGAGAAAAGCCGACTCAGCCGCTTCCGCTTGCTCTTCACGTCCTTCGTGGACCGTGAGTCAACCCTCGTCTTCCCACGATAGTCATTGGGCGATTGTTTCGGATAGTTTTTTTTTTTTTTTTAAACTGAGTTGGAATTCAGAAAAACGAGCATCAGCCACTGTCAGCATCACTAAAGGTGAAGCACTTTTTTTTTTTTACATATTTTGGGGTGAAGTCATAATCTAATGAAAATAAACACACACACACACACACACACACACTCTGTTTTTTTCCCTACATGATGCTTACTGAAACCCGTACTGGTGGTGAATTAGCTCAGTCATGTTAGTTGGGTAGCTGCTTGATCTCCACTGAACCTGCAGTGTTTGCTTTTGTGTTTTTATACCGTCAAAATGATTTGAAGCCCTTTTTGCACCCTCTTACGTTTTTTTTTAATCATGTTTCTGTTCCTTGCCTGCAGCCCCTTGCTCGGCCAACACCTTCTTCTGTCACAGCAACATGTGCATCAACAACTCGCTCGTGTGCAATGGTGTCCAGAACTGTGTCTACCCGTGGGATGAAAATCACTGCAAAGGTAAGAACATTTGACAACAATGAGTCACTTCTCCAAAACTGACAAAAAGACTCGACCTGACTTGAACTGTAAGACTTGTCTGTTTAGATTTGAAAAGCTGTAGTTCTGCAAAGCAATGTAGACTCGAGACTTTTGACTTGCACTTATGTGAGTCTCTCCCATCTCTGCTCATCGGCTTTCACCTTACGCGTCTAGAGAAGAGATCCAGGGGTCTCTTCCACCAGATCACCAAGACCCACGGCACGGTCATCGGTGTTTCATCCGGGATCGTTCTGGTTCTTCTCATCATTTCCATCCTGGTCCAGATGAAGCAGCCACGGAAAAAGGCAAGGCAGTCAAGCCGGTTTCCCAAAGTTCAGTGATGAGGCTGTAGTGTGCATGCCAGACCACAACTGGGCAGGGTAGCCCTGCAACACAAAATAATTTACATTGCTTTCGGGTTTTTTGTTGTTGTTGTTGAGCCAGGATTGCGTTAAAAAAAAACTTTCCAGGGACGGAGATGATTCTGGTGAATAGGGAGACTTGAGCGGCAACACATTGGATTCAGATGTGCATTGACTTGAGTTAGCAGATTCAACAGACACACCACAAATTGGATGTATTCACCTGAATCGGGTGTCTGACTCAAGTCATGGATTCATCAAGAACATTGCAGACTCAGATATTTGGTTCAGTGACTCAAGTTAGTCACCAGAAACACCGCGACTTGTGATCAATCAGTCAAATCAATGTACTGATTCAAGTTAGCAAACTCAGATGATTTAAGTGAGTCACATGACTGATTCGTTTTGTTGGACTCATGGGAAACATGAAGACGCAGATGATTCGATTCTTTCTGTTCGTTAGCAGACTCATCGGATGATTCATTTGAATCGAGTGACCGACAAATTAGCAGATTTTCTGTTGACACTACAGAGTCGGATAGTTCAGGATTATCAGTTAATTTACTCAAATGATCAGACACATGACTGAAAATCTCAATAATTCCCTGACTCAAGTCGACAGACTCGTGTAGTCTAACTCACCCATGTCCCTGCACAGGAGATGTTCATTAGTCAAACACGGTCATGCGTTTTGCCCAGGTGGTCGCCCGCCGGCCAGGTGTCTTCAACAAAGCGGGTCTCCAGGAGGTCTTCGACCCACCACACTACGAGCTCTTCTCTCTACGTGACAAGGAGATGTCGTCGGACCTGGCCGACCTTTCAGAGGAGCTGGACAGTTTCCACAAGGTCCGGCGCTCGTCCACCATGTCCCGCTGCGTACACGAGCACCACTGCGGCTCGCAGGGTTCTGTGGGTACCGGCGGGGGCAGCGGCAGCATGAAGCACAGCCGCACCACGCTGAGCTCCATGGAACTGTCCTACCACAACGACTTCTCCAAGCCACCACCCATGAAGACCTTCAACTCCACCGGCACCTATAAGAAGAGTTGCTATGGCTACAAGCAGCACGCGCAGACTCACGACTGTGACCAGCAGGTCATCGAAGACCGGGTCACGGAGGAGATACCCTGCGAGATCTACAATCGAGGTGTCGGGGCCACAGGCGGCGTGGGCATCGGAGGGGCGGTGGGCATCACGGGGGGCGTGGCCATGGCTGGAGGGATGGGTATGTCAGGAGGAATGGCCATGGCAGGACCCAGTGGCATCGCCGGGGGCATCGGCGGTGGGATGGGGGGAGCCTGCGGCACACTCACCGGTGGGATTGGGGGAGCGTGCGGCACGCTCACCATGCGTGGCAACAGCGCCCGGAACAGCACCTCCGTGGTGGTGGACCCGCAGCAGCGCTCCATGTCCATGGACTTCTAGAAGAAGAATCTTCTCTTCGTGGGAGTTGGAAAACTGGGATGAGGGAACCAGAACCGAACCTTAGTGGTCAACCACCAACAGCGCTCCATGTCCGTGGATTTACAGAAGGAGAATCTGCCCTTTAGGGGACTGGAAAACTGGGATTAAGGAACCGGAACAGAACGGTCCATTTCCAACAACGCTCCATGTCCATGGACTTCGAGAAGAAGAATGTTAGCTCTGTGGGGTTGGTAGATGGAGATCAAGGAAGCAGAACCGAACCTCGGTGGTCAACCACCAACAGTGCTCCACGTCCATGGAATTCTCGAAGGCGAATATTCTCACTCGAGGATGGCAAATCCTGTTTCAAGGAACCAGAACAACTGGAACAACCAGGATTGTCTGAATTCCGATCTGCATGCAGACACTTGGTTGGACTGAGTAAGCAGTCAAAAAGAAAAACCTGTCCAGAGACTTTCTGAACGTTTTACATCACCTGCCATGCACAAATATAAGAGATACAAATGTATATATAAATAGTGTGTCTTCAAATAATTTATTTGATTTTTTTTTTGGGGGGGGGTCCCTACAGCTAGGATTGGCCTGGTGACATAGTGGGAATTGATGGGACTCCCAAAGTAGTCAACAGGTCTGTCTTTTGGTTTTACCCAAGTAGATTAGTCCAAAGACTCTTTCACGCACCGGTAATTTAACTTGTCCTTATCACAAAATCACCCAGGCCGTTTCTCCCCTTCCCCAAGTTGGGTTACATCACAATAAACCATGTGACGCCACTCTCTTCACTTATTGATCGCAGGAATGTAAACAAAACGTAATTTTGACATACATCAAGTACTGCTGGACAATCTAGTAGACCGGCCAATAGCCAAGTGCACTTTAAGGTGGCTAAAGCAAATATTTGACCAGTCAGTCAGCAGTCACTTGTGTTGTTGTGTCACTTGTGTTGTTGTGTCACCATTATGACATTAAGTGTCTGATTGGTTCATTCCGAACCGTTCGTTTTTATTCAGAAACGTTCCGTTTGTTCTCGGCGGTCACAGACCACTTGGTTTTGCCGACACCCCATTTCCATTTGTGTGTGAACACATCACAGAACTAACCACAGCAATGTGGAACACAAACTAGTTGAGTTGTCATAAAAGGGACCAAACTGTGAAAGCGCCCCCTAGTGTGTGTTTTGTGGTGATGTGATTGGTTTGGTCTGCACCCAAATTCAAGTTCACAGACTTCACTGAGTTCATTTCGAAGCATTCAATTTTTTCTAGAATGGTCTGAGCCTTGTTGGTGTGGGCCACATCGTAAAAGTGTCCATCATGACTCACCAAGAAAGCACCCCTACGAGAGGTTGTCAGTTAAATCAAGTGAAGTATTTGTATGATATCAACTGGCTCAATGCACTGCACCAAGGGTGAAAGCAAACCACATCTGGGTTTGAATGGACCAACTTTACACCTGACAAAAGGAACCACACAAAGAGAAAAACACATGAAAGTTGGATTCAAATGGATCAAAGCGTGAATGCACCCCTAGAATTAGTATATGTTTGGATTGATCGATCGATTTTGGTCTGGTTCAGTTATTTCCATGATCTGAATAGCTTTATCCTCACGAGGGTCGCGGGTGTGCTGGAGCCGATCTCAGCTGACTTCGGGTAGTCGTTGCGGTACACCCTAACTGGTTGCCAGCCAATCGCAGGGCACGCATACGACTCGCAACCATCCGCGCTCACGATCACACCTAGGGACAATTTAGACTGTTCAATTAACCGATCGTGCATGTTTTTGCAATGTGTGAGGAAACCGGAGTACCCGGAGAAAGCCCACGCAACCACGGGGAGAACATGCGAACTCCACACAGGAGGCCCGGAATCGAACCCAAGAACTCTGATCTGTGAGGCGGAAGTGCGAAGCAGTCGACGACCAGGCTGCCCTTACTGTATCCACACTTAACCAAATAAACGACACGAAGAGGGAACCCAAATTTGAATGTGATTAAAACGGTTTATAAGATGTAAAAGCAAAATCCGGTTGATTTGGGCCACACCGATGCTTCATCGTCATATTCACATTTGACCAAACAAACTGCACCGGGGTGGGAAAACAAAGTACAGTGTAAGAGGACTTTTAGAAGTGGCATTACAGCTGGTTTGGTCTGCACCAGAGTTTAGTTTTTCAATCTCACAGGTGACCAAACAAAACGGACCCAGGCGGGGCTAATGGACCAAAGTGTGAAAGCACCCCAAGAGGTGGCAGTGTGTTTAGCTTGATCCACATATGAATTTGTTTCAAATTTTCAGAACTCGGCGGGTGAACAAACTGGAGTACAATTTGCAGTCTGAAAGTTGCTGGTGTGGACACGCCCTGAAACGGTCTGTCTTGGTTGGTTTTGCAGCGCTGTGACTCATTGGTGCCTCCTAAGGGACAGAGCGGCATTACATGACATGTCCGAATAGCCTCTCCACCTTTTGGCAGTGCTGCTCTGGACTCACCGAATCCATCAAGGTCATGATAGCACTTGTGATGGGGTATGACATGCTTTGGCCTTTGTCTAACTCGCAGCCCTGCTTACCTCATACACAACACACACACACGCACACGCAGACATAACGCCTATAGCTCCATCCCGCCACGGGAAGAGTACACCAAGAGACTCTTATTTTGGTAAGAGGAAAGTGTTTCTATTTTTGAACTCTCCTTGTGAAATGTAAATCAAGCACAACTTCCTTTAAAGAGACAATAATGATGATGATGATGATGATGATGATTTAACCACTATGTATTATTTCATTCTCTTGAATTAAAAGAGGACCTACTCACCAGCCTGTGGGAACTTCATTGTACAGTGTTATCAATAGTGTCAAATAAATGCCTCACCCCAAATGGGACGCTAATTTTTCCCTTCAGAAAAGGTGACATCCCACCATGGGTCATTGTTGCTAACCAAATTTTATTTTCTTTTTTGACGTACCCCAGTTCATCAGCTCATTGTCCACTTGAAACTCATAAGTACCTCACCCTGAATAATATCCTCCTTTTTTTTCAGGTGATTGACCACATGTCACAGTCTAGGTTTGTTACATCCAAAAACAACGGTACTAAAATAGCGGATAAACCGTTTCTCTGACAAATGAAAATGGGGACTTCCGTAGTTCCCTGGACGGTAACAAAGAGGGTCTACTGGCTGTGTTCACCAAGATAGTTACAATTAAAAGGCACACTTCTATTTGAGGGAGGCTTTTATTTGTATTTTTAAAATACAGTATACTACAGAAATCGTATATAATATAGATTATTGGATATTTGGTTAAAACTTGTTTGTACAAATAAAGGCTGGTCTGAGCCCTAAAAGCTGTCTGGTACTCTTTTCGGTTGAGTAAATGAATGCTCCGTGCCATTTAAAATAAACAAGATCCCAAGGAAAATAGGAAAGAAACAATACCGAGGAGTCATTCTTTCCATAGAGCAATTCCATTTGGTAATTGGAAAATACACAAGTGAGTCATTGTTTTGACAACACCAAAAAAAAAAAAAAAATCTTACTTCCGATCAAAATGTGAAATGAAAAACAGGCCAGAGGACTGAATTTGATTTAAATATTTACTTGGTCCAGTTTTTATCTGATGCACATTAGAATATTTTAAGAAACACATGATATGAAAATTATTTTTAATCATTTGAAACAAATATGTTTGTATTTTATTTTGATGTGAACTAAGGGCAATTGGGCAGGAAGTTTACAGCACACACACACACACACACACACACACACACACACACACACACACACACACACACACACACACACACACACACACAACCGCATTAGTCAGGCTGCTGCTCGCTGACAAATTTGCACTCTGCCTTCCCTTCGCCGCCTGCCATGATGCATTTGTCCTCTGCGAGGCTCCAGGCGCCTCGCTTAAACATGTCACCTTCACAAACCCGTTAGTCTTTGCTCAGATGTGCTGCCTTTCTTGTTGTGACGCACATGCAGCCCGAAATAGAACTCCACTGCCCTCCCTGCCCGGACGTGAAAGATCATCACAGGCGACTTGTCGGCTCTTGGGTGGTATCATGTCAATACCAGGTTTTATTTAAATATCACACTGTTATTTTCTTGTGTGAATGGCAACAGGTGGATGAAAATTTTTCAATCGAATAGAGGCCATTTATTTTGAAACATAACATTGGAGAGGAGTTCACATGGACTGTCAGCTTCATGAAGCAAGTCAAGATGGTACCGGATTCCTTACCACATTCACTGTCGCATAACCTCATCGGTGGCGCTAATGTCATCTTTTGCTTCGATTTTGTGTATCATTGTTTGATACACAATATCTTTGACATAACGTATATAGGCTGGAGCATAACAGTATATTTTACTGACCCAATGGGAAACGTATCTTGCTGTCAATTTGGACCAAGACAAGATCAGGAGAATTGACAGATGAAAACAGACACATTAACTGATACACTGGTTATACTTTAGCTGTTTGGAGCATTTGTGCAAATGTTGTAATAGTTGTACTGCATAAGTGGTCTTGTAATTTCGCGCCAGAGTGAAGGACCTCAAAGCAGTGGTGAAGAGGATTTCCTGCCCAGACCAGTATGACTTTGGTCTTTATGAAGACCTCCTTTTTACTTCTCACCGGTGTCAAGACTTTTTTGTGTATATACCAGTACAGTGGTGTCGAAACTTTGGTCCGTAGGCCATTTGCAGCCCGCAATCTGCTTTTTAGTAACCCACAGCAAATACAAAAACAATTTTTGACACGGCCCACAACTTTGTTGGGTGTGGGTGTTGAAAAGTTGAGGGATTGCAACACCCACATCCGCCATGGGGCGACACACCTGCTAACTGCCATGACTAATATTAAATTTGATACTGAGAGCTGCAGGCCACCCCAGAATCTGGAGAAATTGCTTATGCTTTGGCTTGTCACAGTTAACAGAAAGTTAAATCATGAAATAAAATAAAATAAAACAGTTAAACTGTAACACATCATTTCTTGATTGGTTTGAGCCCTTGCCTCCTTTGATTTTTCTGTGTGCAGCCCTCAGAATAAAAAGTTGGAAGACCCCTGGTAAACACGCTTGTGTGTTGTAACTGTAATTTCAGTCATTGTACTCAAGAGGGCGAAAGCGGCCGCCTAGCGCTGTTAACCCCACCGGAAGTGGAAGCGCGGAAGGCCAAACGAAACATTTTCCACCCGGCGCGTCTCTTTGTCCGTCCACCTCCGCGCTGAGAGAAACATCCGCAGCGACAACCATGGCCAATGTTGCCGACACCAAGCTCTATGACATCCTCGGCGTGTCGCCGTCCGCCTCCGAAAACGAACTGAAAAAGGTAAAGAGCGCAGGGGGGAGGGCGGCCTTGCTATAAAGCCGGTGATACGGCACCCGACGCCCCGGTTGCCTTTGACGAGCCGGGGCGCTTGGAAAAAAATTGTAAGCAGGAAGTACGTCTTTAGCATGGTGTGCTAAAGTTAGCTCGTCATCATGCTAACCGGCCTGGATGCTCGTGTGTGTGTG